GGTCCCTGCTCCCTGCGAGGGGGGAGAGCCACTGTGAGGTTACATTTTATCAGGTGGTGATCTGACCATGACAAGGGGACCGACACTAGGTCAGTCACCATCAGACCACACTCGCTCCAACTGGTGGAAAAAACCAGGTCCAATGTGTGGCCACCCATGTGGGTGGGGCCGTTGACATGTTGGGACATGTTCAAGGAAGCCATGGTTTCCAAGAACTTAAGAGCTGGCCCCGAAGCCTCTGCCCCCGCATGCACGTTGAAATCACCCAAGACCAAAAGCCTTGGGGATCCCAACAGTGCCGTGGATACAAAGTCGGCCAGCTCTGGAAGGGAAGTGGCTGGGTTGCAGGAACCGCGGGAACCCAGCAAAATCCCAATACCATCCCTGGCCCCAATCAACACGTGGAGAGCCTCTAGACCCGGCTTTACCAACGAGGAATGCCTGGTAACCTCCAAGCTGGATTTATAGACAATGGCTACTCCCCCCCCACCCCTCCAGTCTACCCTGTTGCTGAACAGCATAACCGGGCGGACAGATGAGAGCAAGGGGGAGACATACAGATATCTGGCAATTGAAACATTTTGCTTGTGGTATTATAAGCAGTTGCAGATCTCAGAAATAATACCATCAGAACTACACAAAATGGCAATATCACTGATATAATAGCAGTCAATGCTTTTATAATTTTGATTGACTGTGCCTAGTCTTTTTGAATAATAATGTAATAATAATATACAACATTGATATTTAACAGATAGATTTTTGGTTAAAACTTGTATCTGTGATAGAGTAGCAGTCAATGTTTTTATAATTTTGATTGGCTGTGCCTAGTCTTTTTGAATTATTATTGTTGTTGTTCAGAAAGACCAGGCACAGTCAAAATTATAAGAACATTGGCTGGTATTATATAAAAGATACAAGTTTTAACCAAAAACCTAACTATCTGTCAAATACTGGTGCAGTATGTATGTTGTTTCTAATATTGCCAATTTTTGTAGCTCTGATGGTGTGATTTCTGAGATCTTCAACTGTGTGCACGATTTTTATAATATTCTAAGGTATTTATAATTTTCATCACTTAATAGTGATTTTATAATGTCATTTTTAAAAATTCGATGGGCAGAGGCCTTGTTGACGTGGAGGGGCTTGCGTGCTTCAGTGAGGTTGAGAGCTATGCTGAAGGGTCTCCCAAGTCAAACAGGTCTCAGCTGAGAAACCAGACTGTGTCCACCAACCATCAATTATGAAGAGGAAATAAACAGAAATCCATACCGGATTGGTTGTTGCCTGGGTCAACAAGGACCATGTCAGATGCTATAGCCCCTGGGTATCTGGTAACAAATGAGCTACAGGGCTCAAAAGACCCTTTTGAGGAACCAGGACAGGCTGCTACTGGAACAACGTCAACATAAAACATGGACTCTCACCGAAAATCAAGAAACGGTGTTGGTGTTGGTGATGATGATGATGTATGGACTCATTCCAATGAAAATACTATAATAGCCATGTGTGTATGAACACATTAACTTGTTTCTCCCTTCTCTTCAAATTTGAAAACCTTCATGAGAAAGGTTAAGTAAATATTTGTTGCACTTTAGGGTTTTAAACCTTGAGTCAAATATTGTTGGTCCGCAGCAACAAAAGATATTTAGAGGGGCCTATGGTAAAGAAAAGGTTTAGAGAATAGGGCATTTTAATCCTCCACAGTCTTGTTTTGTTGCAGAATCCATGCAAAACTAAACCTATTATGTAGGCATTTGATGACAGAATAATCTGTATTGTTGTGAACAATCTTCCTAAATTTCAGTCACCCACTCTGATCAATCCCTTCCACAAACAAACAACAAAATAAACTGAAAAGGATCGAGGAAATTTTTTTTGGAAAAAAAATCGATCGACTTTTCATCATTTTGTCTGAGCAAGATTAAATTTCTGAGATAAAAAAAAACCCTTACTATTTTTCAGCCCTTACTATGATGTAGCAAAGAAATAACATATTATGTTTGGCAGTAAGCTAGGCCCATTTGGGTAATGTGGATGTTGACTGTTCAAGTGAAATTGAAATTGAAATTCAAGGAATACTCCACAGTGTAAGAAATGTTCTGTTCTGTTGTTTTGTTTGTTGTGCTATGAATGTGGAGCAGTTTTATACCCCCCTCCTCAACAAGGTATTAGAATTCTTAATGAGGTCAGAAAATGACCAACAGTCTGTGAGGATTGAGAGATCTTCTATTTTGGCAGTCAGCAGAAAAGTTGATGAGTAAGCATTTTCGCATTCCACCTTCCTATTATACTCAGGGAAATGGATTCTTTTTTCTGAAGTATGTTCAGGTGTCTTTTAGGTGTTCATACTGTGTATAATTTAGCTATATTGCTCCTGTCAAACAGCAATTAAAGATTCCATAATATTGAACTTGAAAATTATATAGTCAGAAGTGAGAGTCAATAATGTGCCCTTAGCTATAAATGCTTATACAATTCTTCGTGGTTATCAAGTTAATTAAAGCTGCTTCATAATGACATGATTCTTATCACATGCCCAGAATAAATTCTACCAAGTATTTGTTAAACTAAACTGTCCTGGCTGTCGCCAGATGCAAGAATAAAGAGGAAGGTTTGTCTGCAAGACTCTAACAATGCCCCTAAAATGCTATGTAAAACACTTTCCACCCTTTCTATATTTCTACTCAAATAATTCATTTAAGCAATGTTGCTTTATGGCTTCCTGCATTTTGGCACACAAATTTCAGCCTACACTGCAGACGGTGCAATTCATTTGCTAAATGTAATTTCCATCTCTGCATACTAATCGATTTTCCCACAAACACCTGCTATCAGTTATGATAATAAAACTGCCATTCTAAATTGAAACGAGGCCAAATAGAGCTTCCTAAGGAAATGACTTAAGTATCTTTCAATGCTACTAATGCAGTAATGCTTCTGTAGTGCCAACATTTTTTCCAAACATTTGCATTTTATATCATTTTGTTCTGTTCCTTCATTTCTCTAAGCATCACTGGAAGGCTGAGGGGAAGGAAAAAAGAACATGGAAAACTGGAGACTTCATCTTTGGGGATTGGTTCTAGATTTTTGATATGTGATGTTCTAGAGCATGGCCGGCAACGAGTAATGTGAGGAAGTCAAATGCTATTGACCTAGACATGTGGGTCCTGTGAAAAAAACTTTCACTTAGAAATTGTACTGCATGCTCCAATAGACTTAATTTCTGTTCAGATGGTCGTGTGACTACAGGTACATCTGACCAGTTTGAATGTGTGTCTCGTAGCAGCAATCCCTTCGTAATCCACAAAGCAAATTCAGTAGCCTTTCAAAATATATTTGTATGTGGATGTGGGTGAGTGTACTCGTTTGAGTTACAAATGTGCCAGAATTTTATTTATTTCTCTAGTTACCAAAATCTGAAAATACAAAATTGCAGGGTGGTTGTGGTGGTAAGCAAACAGATATCAACATTTCCCCCTGTAAAGTACACTAGGGATGTTGGTCATGTTATCTTTGTGATGCGGTTGCTGCTGGCTCATGTGAAGGCTGCCCCGTGAGTGTGCTGATGTGCGTAAACTGTAATTCTTAATATGAGTTGTGTTGTATGTTACATTTAGCAAAACTGTGATATGTGTGTATGCGGGTGGGGTGGGGTGGTCCCAGATAAGTCATCCATCCCAGAGAAAAACCTGAGTCTTTTCCATTTTTTTAGAGCAGACATATAATTGTTCTGTCAATATAATTTGACTCTGTAATGTAAGATGGCAATTATACTAAATGGCCATGTTACAATTTTTAAGAAATAGATTAGACCCAGACTTAGACATGCTTAGAGGAGGCCCATGGAAAAGGCCAGAGGTAAATTTCTTTCTCATTACCCCACCCATAGGATTTTAGTCGTGAATGATTTACATCCTATTATTCTCAGTGACTCTGTAGTAGAATCCTATTTAAAATTTGGATCGAAGCTAATATTTCTATTTTCAAATTGTACTCTTCAGACTACGGACTTCAGGAAAGGATATTATATATCAATGATCTTTGTTTATGATAAGGGGAGGGTACCAAAGGAGACGTATTGTTTTCTGCCTTCCTGTTTCTTATTCCAAACCCCCTTCCATTAGGCCCTTTCAAGTTATGATATTATTTGGAATGGGTTGGAGAACAAAGGAATGGAAATCCCAAGTCAGTCTTAATAAGAAAACATTTTTATTTATTTATTTATTTTAGAATGAGCTATATTAAGATTTTACAGGACATCCTATGATTCATTGTATAAGCCATTGCTTTGCGATCAGGAAAAGTTCCTCTTTTTAGATTTCAGAAGCAGATGTTGTTCTCTCTCTCTCTCTCTCTCTCTCTCTCTCTCTCAGTCTGTGTCTCTGTGTGTAATATCCAGGTTCTGCTACAATCAGAGGTAGCAGAACTGGTGGGAGGAAAGTGGAAACAGCCGGAAGTTTAGAAGGTTTTCAGACGTTGCATTTTTCTTATCTTGTGTAATACCTTTTTGAAAAAGAATGCGCTTTGTAATATTGTTTGACATCTTTGACATCTGAAAATGAGTTCTAGAGAATCAGAAGGCAGTTAAGGAGCTCTAAAATCCATGTTTGGATATTCAGACCAGGATTTAGCTCCTAAACTATGGCTGCCACAAATTATGTTCCATTTTGTGATATTGAGCCTCTCTCGCGATGCATTCAGATCCTGTTCTACTCCAGCTTACCTGATGTTAATGAGCTGGCATACCAAGCAAAGACTTTTCTGCCACTCTATAGAAGGCTGGTCTAAGTTCTTGCTTGGTTCCTCTTTAGGATGTTGTAATTGTATAAAAGAAGCCACAATCAAACATTGTAGCTAAGGGAGCAAGCAGTATAATTTCTCTAATAAGAGCAGTTGCTGCACAGAGGTGTCTTATTTGTTCTGGTTAAACCCAGCATGTTATCCGTGGTAGGTGGCTCGATTAATATTAATCACCATGACTGTTTTCCTTCTCTCAGCATTAGCTGCTCAAGCTTATGCACTGAAGGAAGAGAATGACAGTCTCCGATGGCAACTGGATGCCTATCGCAACGAGGTGGAACTCTTAAAGCAAGAGAAAGGGCAGCTCTTCCGAACTGAAGAAAGCCTGACAAAGGACCAGCAGCTACAGTTCTTGCAACAGACATTACAAGGCATGCAGCAGGTACTTCACTTTGTAATCCCACATTCTGTATTCTAGGACCTAAACGTAAAGTTGCTACTGGTCTGTCTTTGCGTACAGGTATGTGCCTCTAGGTGCATGTGAATGTGTAAGAACACAGTTAAGAGCTATGTAGGATTAAACCTAGCTAGTTCAACATTCTGTTCATATTGCACCAACCAGTTGATGATGCAAAGTCCAGCAGCCAGACTTTAGTGTGGCTGTGCTATTTGTTGCAGTTACCATGATGGGGCTCTGTGCATTTTTATTGAGTTCAGTTCCATCAATGAGGGGAAGAGCATTGCCTTTTACAAAGAAGATCCTGGCTCATTCTAAGGAGGACAGGAACTTTGGTTTGGATACTAGAGTTGTAACTTTGCGCTCAGTCTAAAACCTGAAAATGTTATGTCAGAAAGAATATATAATTTCGATTCCTTATATTTTCACCTTCCTTTTAGACTTGACATTTTTCACACATAGAAAGCAACAGCCCTTGAATTTCGTGAGTTTATCTGGATAGCAAGTTGACATAATGGGACTATAAAAATGCACTCTTTTCCTAATGACATGTTGTCATTGGGATATGCATTTTCTGTATACTTTTTTCTTTGCATGCCTGAGTTTTTTTTATATCTGGTCTCACTCTTGTTACAGTTGTTGTGTACTTATGTATTTCACATTTAAAGCACCCACTAACCAACATTTTTACAGTATGTTAAAAATATAACTTTCAGCAGCAATACAAAAACAACAAACTTCTGCACCTGTATGAGTAATACGTTTTTTCATTTATGTTTTTGTAAACTGTAGCCCTCTTCTTCTTTGTGGCCATCTGTGAACTCACTCTAATGGGCTATTTTGCGCATGTGCAGGACAACTCAGAACCTTCTAGAGCTGAGCTGGAGCATTTTGGCAGGGGCACTGCTCCTCGTTAGAATGCGCTCCACCCTCTCCACCTTGCTGGTCTCTGTTTCTTTTCATCTTCCATTCACTACTGACATCTTGGAACTTCTCTCCTCTATCCTCCTTATCTCTCTGAGCTCCTGTGAAGACAATAATCACTAGTAAATATTTGAAGATACCTCCTTTTGTTGTAACTCCCCAACTTTTATTATCTCCAACTCCCTTCGACCAGCACCTGCCTTGTGGTTGGCTATGCCATCCCCTTAACAGTGCATCGCTCCACAACCCGTTAAGAAGTGTGTCTTAAGGGCAACCTGCCAAGTCTAGTTTAGAAAACAAAGGCTTCCAGAAAACAAAGGCTGTTTTAGAAAACAAAAGCACTAAAAGTAATGCTATTATCTCTGTTGAGGGAATGCGGCTCAAGTTTTATCAAGAGAGCCTCAATACCATGTTTCCCCCAAAATAAGACCTAACCTGAAAATAAGCCCTAGTATGATTTTTCAGGATGCTTGTAATATGAGCCCTACCCCAAAAATAAGCCTCAGTGAAGTGAAACGCTGCCCTCCACCCTTGTGCAGCAACCAGAAGAAGATGACATGACTGTATTTGAATAAATGTATATTGTTGTACATGGGGGAAAAAATCTCCTGAAAATAAGCCCTACTGTGTTTTTTAGAGCAAAAATTATTATAAGCCCCTGTCTTATTTTTGGGGAACCATGGTAATAATTCTATTATTTTGTACCTCATTCCATTGGGGCTAATGATCATATTACATCGGCCAGATTGGAAGATCCATTACAGAGGCAGTATCTGAACATTCGCAATGCATTAGATCGGTGGTCCCCAACCTTTTTAACACTGTGGACCGGTTGGGGAAGGCAGGGCACCTCCCCACTCACGTGCATGCATGATGGAGCGGGGGGTGCTCGTGTAGGTGCATGCACACTTGCACGCAGATGCAAAGAGCAGGGGTGCTTGGGGGCACTCGTGCGCATGCACAAAGGGGCAGGGGCACACACATGCATCCATGCATAAAGGGCAGGGGTGCTCAGGAGGCACTCATTCACAAAGGGGTGGGGGTGCTAACGCAGGCACACTCATGCACAGGCATGAAGGGGCTGTGCAGGGTAGGTGGGAGATCTATCTCCGCGGCCCAGTTCGGCCCAGGCAACAGACTGGCACTGGGCTGTGGACCAGGGATTGGGGACCCCTGCATTAGATTACAACAGTCTGAAAAAATCTGGACTGGCTGATCATTTTATCAGGTATGATCATTGTATCAAGTACAATCCAAGGGTTTTCACAAAATGTATGGCAGTCATAGTGGCTGACTTCTGACTCCACAGAGTTATGGTGTATCCATACATTTATTTATTTATTTATTTATTTATTTATTTATTTTATTTA